TTTTTGGACTCTAGCTTGTAAATAAGTTAACTTAAAATCGATTGATAATTTTCGCGGGCGATTGAGCAATTAAATAAAAGCTTGCAAAAACCTATAGATGAGTATTTCTTTTGCAAAGATTTTTTGCAACGCCAGAAAAAAAATGAATGTGGCAAAAAACGTTCTTTACGATTCTAAAAAAAATTTGATGACAAAAACTTTTAGGCATTTCGAATTTTTAAAACTAATTCTGTCGTAATCGTCGGGCCCATTCTTAAATGCGCCCCTGTATGTGCATACATATACACGTGTATAGCAACTAACAAATGCTGTGCTATTTTATTATGTATCTGCGTCAGCGGACTCGACTTCAAAGGAATATCCTTTCACTTTGGCATTGCCTGTGATTGACACTTCATAATTAGGTTGAGTGACTTGTTGGGTTTCGCGAGTTAACTTGCTATAAATCGCAGAAATTTCGTATAGTGACCCAACAGGGAAGTCTAGAGGTTGCAAACCAATTGTATAATTAGTTTGATTACTAAAGTAAATCAAAGGCGTAAAAATAGAGGTTATTTTCTTAATGGCGGTTTTATTAGTAATAGAAAAAGATTTTGTGCAAAGAAATTTGTTGACGAATCTTCAGCGGAGGTTGTTCCAAGAATCAGAAACAGAGGTCTATGTACAGTTTAAACCAGCATATGGTTCTTGTGAGAACCCCTTCTACGCTATGAATTTTTTTATTTTTTGGTGTGAAATAACACAAATAATGCCACCAGTGCGTAATTGCGAAAGGAGGAGAGGGGGCGGGGGACTCGACGTCGAACGCGGCGCGGGGTGGCGCGCGAACGCGGACCGCCGCAACGCTGGGCACTTTGAAAATTGTATACGTACAGTCTAACCATACATATAACTTGTTCAGGTACTGCTTTTTGTATTGTTTAAAAGTTGGTATTATTGCTCCACGAGAAATGAAATAAAGCAAATTTGTGTTATTTTACATCCAATTGGAAAATAACACAAATTTGCGTTATTGCCGTTTGTGTTATTTTACCCCCGCCCCCCGTTCCTATGAGCCTAGATTTTCTTTTCGGTACTTTTATATCAGTGCGCTCAGGGGTAAGAACGTACTTATGATTGTTTTAAAATTATACTTATCAAACAATTTAAATAACATGTAGATACATATTTATAATTGTGCGTATATATATATACATTAAAACATACATACTTATCACACATCGTTTGTGTAATCATAAAAATGTACAAGGGTCGTTCTTTTAAAAATCGTACACCTGTTTTAGTTCTGCATTTTAGATTCGGCTTAAATTTTCTTCATAAGTTGTATGCACTAAAAGTGGTTATACTTGTATCATTAATTCATTAAAAAAAATTATTTTCAGAGATATGAAGGTTTTGAGTGTGGGTGATTTGATTACTTACCGAAATTTGGCTTATTAAAAATTCAATATCTTTGCTTCTAGTAATCGTATCGTACCCATTTTTAACAACGCTTTTATCAACTTGCAATTTTGTGTGTCCAGACTAAAAACTTTTTACCACGCTTTTATAAATGGACTAAAAGTTAGAAAATAATATTTCTCAGTCCCAAAGAATTTGTTTTGATAACTTTTGATTTTGAAATTTTAGCAAACGTCATTATAAACAGTTTATGAGATTGAAAATGAAAATCATGTAATATACCTGAATTGTTATGAAGTGTACTAAATATATAAATGTATGTACAAATGTAACGACCGCTTAAAGTCGATCTCAAATTTGTACTTTCACGGTAGAAATTTTGGGTCTATGTTATGTAGTTTGACCATTTATAAAAGCGTGGTATATTAAAAAGTTTATTTTTATTTTATGTTTTTTATTTTGAAGTTTGATATATTTGCGTACAATTATTATGAAAAGGAAAAACTATATACATACGTGTGTATGTATAACACGCTATATTTGTACCCAGGCGCACTTGTGCACAAGGCTATTATTACTTTGTTCACATAACGGTTGTTTGTAACAGCCAAAACGAATCGAGATAGATATAGATAAATGTATACATAAATGATCAGAATGAAAAGGAAAGTCGGTTAAGCCATGTATGTCTGTCTGACCGTCCGTGTACACGATAACTCGGGCAAAAATTGAGATGTAGTAGTAGTAGTTGTAGTAGTAGTAGTAGTATGATTTATTAGTAGCATTCAGATACTCTTGAGGGTTTCACAAAGGTGTCGTAAGTGTCGTGTTGTTGTATGTCGTAAACTTTAAAAGCCTTAATAAATGCTTAGAGAACTTGAAACGACAACCAACTATTATTTAACACTGCAAAAATTCATAACATGACTTTGATGATACTTTAAGAACCCCTTTAATATATTTTTAGGCCTTTAAAGTTTACGACATACAACAATACCCCATCTGTTAACAATATTTTGGTTATATTCGCAATTTATCTTAATTAAAGATTTAATACAAACAATACATTTTTGTTTAAACAACTTGATATTTCTTTCGTCATGCGGAAGTCTATTATAAGGCTGGAGTCCTTTTTAAGATATAGAATCCTGTGCAGCCGCTGTTCTTTGCAAATCCAGTCTAAAATCGTCTGCATTACGCAGTCGTCGAAATTGTTGCATATCCCTGACATACGTGACATCTTCAGTCAAATATTGTGGACCTCTGTAGTTCTTGAATTTAAAAATTAGTAGTAGTGTACACATTTTAAATCATTGGTGTATGGAGTGTATCGATTACATTTTAGTATACATCTCATACCTTAATTTTGGAGCTTTTCGAGCCTGTCTATTTGCATCGCGTTACCACATGTATACATAATTGAGGCACAGTACTCAAAATGGGGTTTTATTATTACGTTATATATGTATATTAATTGCTCGTATGGTGTAAATTTTACTATGTATTCTCTTTAGGAAGGCGATTTTTTTACTAATGTAGTCAATGTGGCAGAAAGAGAGGGAGCTTCGGTGGGACCACTTCGACTTATTCGGTTTAAGGGCTCACTGAAGTCTGCAGCGTCTGTTTACCAGTAGGAGCGGCTGTAAGCGGGTTGCCCTCGTAAGAACAAAAGCTGACATAACCGCTATCCAAGAAATGCATTGGACGGGGCAAGGCAAGCAATGCTTTCTAAATGTATGCTTTAATATCGATACTGAATTAAAAAACGTGCTTAACTGTTTAAGCATAATATTTAGGTAAATGTTAATACAGGGATGAAGGCAAGGTGGAATATGTAGATGAAGAAAGGGATAAAGGAGAAGATTTAAATAAAAGCAAAGCAACCTAAAAATTAAGACGGACGGTAAATTTAAATATTTCATATAATGCCAAAGGGTGTGAACATGGGGATCAAGAAAAGAATGAAGATAGAGATCAGGATAAAGGTAAAAGGAAAAGGAAGTAAAGGAAAAGGTGAAAATTAAAAGATAAATATAAAAATAAAAATAAACACGAAAATAAAATAATATAAAACCTATAGAGACAAGGATAGAGATAGAGAAAGTTATATAGATAAATATAGACAAAGAAAGACCCAGACGATAATTTAGGTAGGCCTTCTTAAGTAAAACCATTCTAAGAGGCCTACCCAAGAAGATCTGAATAAAGCGCTTCCTTGCATGCCTTGTAGAAGGGCTTATCCATTTACAATTTACGCGAATGCATCACAAATGAGTTTCAGTAAATATTTTAAGTTGCAATAACACATATTTGATATAAACCTTAACAGAAAAGAAGCAACTTTAAAAGAACTCCTTCAAAAGGCCTTCTGAAGTGTGCCCTATAGAAGCCTTTTGGAAGGCCTTCCATGGGTAGCGAAAGAAGAAGCCCTTCAATTTGTGCCACTCCATACAAAAAAGAAAGGAGAAAGGAATGTAGAGTGGACGGCCTCTTGACTCTCAGGAAGGCCTTTTGGAAGGGCTTTTAACTCCTGAAATTATCTACTGGGGAGATAAAACTGACGAATGAGATATATTATATTGTTATGTTTTAGTGTGCTGCGTTATGTTATGTTGTTATGATATGTTATGTTATGTTATGTTAAGTATATTGTTGTTATGCTATATTGTATTATGGTATTTTATGTTATAAAATATTATGTTATGTTATGCTATGTTTTGTTATACATATCATGTTTGCTTTTGCTATGTTATGTTTTGTTGTTCAACTCAATTCACTAGAGCTTACTACAAATCCCCTAAACTCGCCTTATCTCACCTAAACTAACCTCACATCAACTCCCCTCAGTTCACCTCACCCCAACTCACGTCATTTGGTTTCAACTCAACCCCTAATTACACTTCACCTCAACTCATCTCATCTCAGCTCAACTCCAAAAAACTATTGAAATTCTACTTAATATACTAATTTTCAACAATTTGGATCCAATATTTACAGAAATATCACAGTTTTTGCATTTTTCGAAAATACCGTTATAAGAGAAGGGGCGTGGTTACAGTCCGATTTCGCCCATTTTCAATAGCGACCTACCTTGGATAAAGGGCAACCTCGAGTTATCGTGTACACTGCCAGACGGACGGACGGACAGACAGACATGGCTTAATCGACTCCTCTTTTCATTCTGATCATTTATGTATTCATTTGTCTATATCTATCTCGATTCCTTTAAGCTGTTACAAACAACCGTTATGCGAACAAAGTTATAATACCCTGTGCACAAGTGCGCTCGGGTATAAAAACCTGATGAAATTTTGAATGCAGTGGCGAGCATGTATATATGAAGAAGCAAACAAGAAAACTCTCTATATGCTGGTAAAAATTAAATCCAAGATTCTTTTTCATAATGATGAAAACTAAGTCATTGAAATAAATTTAGCGTATTCTTAAATACCTAAAAACTATTTTTATTATAATTAATTTTTTTTTTTAATTTTGAAAAGCGCCCAGAAAAGTTAATAATTCGAAAAAGTTAATCACCTTTGGGTCATTTCGGTTAACTTTTTCGTGATTCTATTGTATATCCATATACACAAACTCACCTCTCTCGTGACAAAAGCGCCTCGTAACCAATTATGTGATGCTTTTCACTCAATGTTGGCGCACGTATTATCTTACACCAGTACAAGGTATCCATGTTGGACTCAATGGTAACCTATTAAAATATTAAAATATATTGTATTAATGCGACAAATAAAGGATGAAGAAATTAAAGAATGTGTTTTATTTCGAGCACTCTACTTCAAATACTACATACTTAAATCAGAAATGTACAACAGTTAAACTCAACTTAACGTTTTTTCAGGATATCAAATGTAAACATTGAGATACATACATACATACAATACATACTCGTACATTCATGTCGTCTTTTAGGGTGCGTTGAAATGTCTTCGAACATCGACTTCAACTACAATTTCACTCTAAGCAACATTTTCAAAAAAGCACTCCCATCTCAAAGCTCTTTTAAAGTTCAGAACGACTTATCAGAAATTTGCAAAGCCGGGGATATGTTCTAAACAGAACTGACGTGATACGTAAAAAATCCCAACTAAAATCTGTACAAAAACCACCGAAAAGTTTGAGCTTTTGCTTGAAACTGCTTATTTTGCTTAATTTTAACGACCATGCTTATTTCAATGTATAAAGCTAAGTACGGACCTTTTAAGTAAACGATCAAGAAATAAATTGCTATGGTACAAGGAGTTTTGACCACTGATATTTTACAGCATGGTGTCTCAGTTTTTCCTTACGAAATATTGGAACGGGCATAAATTTCTGTTGAAAACAAGAGTACCTTGTGCTCTTCACAAACTTTAGCAAACCATAGTAGAAAGCGTAGCAAATTTCTTAAGAACTTCATACCTACTGCTTAAAAAAAATTAGCTCAATAAATTTTTCCTGACCATTCCAAGGGCTTTTTTTATTTGTGGAACTAAAGAAAACAAATTTGGTTTTTATTAACCCTTAACTGGAACCTTGGATACCAAAATTTAAAATCAATGGTTCCTCTCTACGGGAAGGCATTGGTGTTATTGAAAAGATTAAAACGAATTTATTCCAAATGAAGAATAAAGAATATTTAAAAAAATAAAAATAAAACGAGCAGTACCTCGTTTCTGTAAAAATTCTCTGCCAAGGCGAATTGAGATATGAATTCGCCGCCCTGTTCTCTACTGCTAATGAGAAGTAGAGAATGACGTATACATAATTGCCAACTTGGTGCTTTAAGCACTAGATTTAGTGCTTTTTGAAAATTAAAACGTTAAAAAAAATTATTTAGTGCCTAGTGCCTTTTTTAATGTTTTTTTTCTGAACTAAAATTACTCCGATATAGTTAAAACCATAAATAATTTTTAAATATCTAAAGCTGTGGTAGCACTGAATTTACAAAAATCTACAAATTTAAATGCACTTAAATACAACCATGATTGATAAAAAGCAGAACTTGCAAATTCAGCTTGTACAATTCTATTCACGTTGAAAATGCTAGTAGATATGCGAGTAAGTTAAGTATTTCTTTTTTTCTTTTATAATTATTTGTAAAAATTTTTATTTTTGTACCACCAATCTGGCGCACAATTGCTCTAGCACTAGAATTTTGTGATATCCTAACCTCAAAGTGCCAAAGTCACGGTTTTTTGCGATATTTGAGGTTATATAATGAAAACAAAAAATTTTTTTGCTAATTTCTACTTAGGGCATGATTTTCGTTTGTTGGGATTCGATTTTTCTTTCTTGAGATTTATCAGTTTTAATGTGCAGTACTGCGGTATTACGTCGTAAGCATGAGTCATTATAGCATGTAGCTTTTCAATCGTTATGAGCGAACAAGTTTTGTTTATTGATTTATATATGCATTCTTGTAAATATTGTTAATTTTTTGTTTTTGTTAAATACATACAAACTGTTAAAAAAATGAAAAAAGCATCAATTGATGCAAAACCATTTGGTGCTTTTAGTGTGGTAAAACGCTTTTTTGGTGCTTTTTGAAAATCAAAAGTGGGCAACACTGGACGTATATTCTCTACCAGTAGAGAAATAATCTGTATAGAAGAATTACCGAAACGAGCTACAGATCTCCATTATTTGAGAATATCAAGAAACACTTGATTGTCCATTGTAATTTTTCAATCCTTGAAGTAAACTGAATAAAGAACATTAAACTGTAACTAAATTTTTTTGTTTTGCGACCATATGTATTTGCAAGTATATTTACCAATGTTTTAGTGTTTACATATGCGCTTAAAATGGATTTTTTTTTGCTTATTTTCTTTGGACCTGCTTATTCAAATAATTTGATTAATCAGTTCCTGAGTAATTAATGTTTACTCAAAAAAAAAAATAAAAAATAAATAAATAATTGAAATCTGAATAACTTTGTTCATTTCTTTCGAGTTTGCTTTCAAACCAAATAAAATTTTTTTATACATAGGTACATTAGAGTGGCCTTTTTGTTGTATGAAAAATTTGAAATGCATGAATCCAAAAGTTTTCGCACAGAATAATGTGAGGTTGGGGATATAAATAAATACGTAATTAGTTTAAAAGCCTTCAGGTTCCGGGTTGAGCTTTTTCGACCAAAAATGTCGAAATCACACCAATTTCTTTTATTTATCATTTTTTTTTTAAGTATATATTAGAAAAATTCTACATTATGCTTGATTTAAAATGAGATTAAATATTATTTTTATTAGATATTAAATGATATATTGATATAAATGATGATTTCATATTTTTCTCAGCTTTAATATTATCGTGTACCATGGTTTTTCAATCATGTCAGACGTTTTGAGCACTTTAAAAAGGTAAATGTATTCAGTTTTCATAAAAAACCAGTTCAGGAATAAAAAATTGGGTTTCATGGTCGTAAAAGCTAAAAATTTAAAATAATGATTTCAATTTCAACATATTTCCTATTAAAAAATCAAAATCAAAAGTTTTCCCCAATAAACATTGGGCTTGGTTAGCAATTCGAAAATGATTGGAAATCCAATCTTTTTTCGAGTCTTACCTTCGATAACAAATGTGCAATATATTAGTATTCGATTCAAGAACTAAACCATTCTCCAGCAAAACGGCACCTTCGTTATCCAATCTAGCCCATTATCGAATTGAAATTTTATTGTGAGTGAGGGATTGTCTTATATTTTCCTTTGAGAATGAGCTGGATTTCACTTTCTCTCTTTTTGCTATGGTTTAATTTTTTTTCGAACCCATTTCGAGTGTATTTCAAATTTACTCTGAACGTTGGAAAACCAGAGTTGGTTATGAGCACTGTTGCCATTTTAGCCGTTTTCCGGCAAGATTTAGCCTGTTACGATAGCAAACAGCCGGAGAAATTTTGATTTAGCCGACAGCCGATTGGTTAGCCGTTTTGTAGAAAAAATTTGCCGTTTTTAGCCGATTTTGCTATTTGCCTTGTTTTCTTAAATTTCAAATATGTATATATGTTTCCATTTTTGACTAAGCGACCCAAAATCTGTTAGAAATGGCTACTAGCCTTATCGTGGAGAAAATTTGTATGTCAGGCAGGATTGTATGAAATTGGGCCGATTTCGCTTATTTTTATTTTAAACGAAAAAAGGGATTTTCGTCCTAAAATGTTTCCTATAAATGTCTTAATTTTAAGTGTGAAGTTTTATTCGCAAACTTAGAAAATAAGAAATTGTTTCACTGTTAAGACTCTTAAGATGCGTTTGTGTTTGCATATAGTGCCAACAAACAGAATAAATACTACATGTAGATATTGTCTTCCCAGATAGATCATATTCAATTCTGCCTAAATTAAAAAACATAATTTTTTCCCACTCCCAAAGGTTTAAGGTAATGGAAAAATTGATATTTTCAAGCACTATGTACACATATGTATTTTTTTAAACAAACGTTTTTGCTGAGATCTTATTCAAATTCCAAAAACCGAATGCCAACTTGAATCACTGAAGTGAGTCAAAATAAAAATAAAAGAGCACAAATTTCTATGTAAAGCAAAACTCTCTGTGAATCCTACGAGACATCTGCCGGTCATATGACCGGTCATCTAAATTGGAGATCTGATGCAGTGATGCCAGACATTCTCTGTTAAATATCCCACGGAAATGGGGAAAAAATCCCTCAATTACCCACATCTTGAAAATTTATCCCACAAAATTCCCAACGAATTTAAACATATACATGTTTCAGTAGTAAAGAAGTAAAATTCATATAAAATAATAATAATAGTTTGGCGCTTACACATATGTGCTTTTCCTCCAATTTGTGGCGGTCCCCTTGATGTTGTCACACAAAGGGGAGGGACCTACAGTTTTACGCCGACTCCGAATGGCGAGTGTATTTTTATAAGAAGCTGTTTTTCATGGCAGGAATACACTCGGAGGTTTGCCATTGCCTGCCGAGGGCCGACCGCTGTTAAGAAAAAACCCCTTTTTCTGCATTTTTTTCACTCATTCATTTTTTTCACTCATTCATTTTTTCACTTTCATTTTTTTGCTCACTCACTAAGGGCCTAAAAGAATTTTTTGGTGACTTTAAAATTGAAGCACATTCATGTGCTATTTAACATTTCATCAGATAATTTGTTCTGCTTTTTACATGAAACAACAGTTGTTGGCGACGACAAAATAAAGATAAAGTTAAATACAAAGTTGAACTTTCAATTGATTAAAAAATACTAAATCGAGATACTGACGAGATACTAAAACTTGTATATTCGCTGCCCGCCATCTTTCTTCTCCTATCCAAATCGACGAATGAAAAAGATTCACGTTGGCTGCGATTGTTACTGACTGGGGTTGCCATATGATTGCACGATGGCGAATTTAGGGTGCGCTTACACTACCCAGTTATCGACACCAGTTACAACTGAAAAGATTCTTTCTTACTCAGCGCTTGAATTGGTTAACGTAAGAAAATTTTCGAAATTGTCCTTATCTGGCATCACTGATCTGATGTCTTTAGGCATCATATTTTGCATCAGAATTGAAGGGATTTCTGAAAAATCTGACCAGTTCTTTGGTGTAACTGTCATTTTGCATCCCTTGTCAACATATGGCCTCGGTTGATGTTAACTTAAGGTCGTTGTTTTACTGCCTTAAAATTGAAGGGAAATTTTTACAGCGTTTTTTATGTGTAGTGGTTTCTATTTGAGTGTATTGAGAATCGGTCAGTCTGAAAAGGACTTGTAGGGAAGATAATAGGTTTGTTCGTCGAAAATCCAGCGAGAATTATCACTCAAAATATCAGATAGTAATAGTAATAAATAGTTTTTTTTCCCCCGAGTACCTTTCAAATCATTGGAATTAACTAAATTAATTAAGAAAACAAGTATTAACTTACATTTTTCATTTTAAAATCGCTCCAGTTTGTAAATTTTTAAATTTAACGAACTTGTTTATTCAAATTATCGTCGACAAAAAGTCCAACCATGTGCCACAATCATATCTTTTTCCTAGTTGCAAATTCTTGCTGGCAAAAATTTTTTCCAGCTCGAATTTGTAACTTCTCTCCAAGAAATAGTCTTTTTACTCGTGATTTATTTAAATAAAACATGTGAAATTTAGTTGAAACATTTTAGCCGGTTTTATTTGCCAATTTAGCCGGTTCGTCCAAAAAGTTCTGGCAACAATCGTTCTCAGTTCGATAGGCATATTGGATATTGAAGGTAATTTTCGGCGTTCGCCAAAATGTTTATAAGGTCGTTTGCTCTTGAGGCGTTATATATGTATATCGTCGTTTAAAGTGCATAACCGCGTATCAACAAAATGCAAAACCGCGTATCAGCAAAATGCAAAACCGCGTAGAGCGTAAAACACTAATATTTCAAAATGGTTCACTTTTTTATAAAGCATTCGCATTTCTGGCTAGTATATTTCAAGACGAATGGATAAGGATTGGGCCAAGAGCTTGTGTGAGCAAATTCAATTTTTGGCAGCCAATGTCAGTTACGCGGTTTTGCAGAATGACGATATGCGGTTTTGTACTTTAAACGACGATATGTATGTACGTTAGGGTGGCCCAAAATAAAATAAAGTCAGAATTACAAAGCCGCCACCCCCTAGGATTGTTAAATACCAAAAAAAAAATATATATACAATTATTTTTAATTTTGAAATCAAAAAATATTTTGAGAGTGCTCAAAGCACTAAATTTTTTGCAGGTATTTTATACTGGAAAAAAAAACAAGTATTCGTAGAAACGGTATAGAGTTCTTGAAAATCAATATTTTTCGATCGAAGAACCCTACTTCTACTCAGGAGACTTCCAATAATAATATCCAATTGTTTATTTAACCATTTTTTAATACTAACGATTTTTTATTGGTCCCCGATTGCATTTTATATCTAGGGTCTTTGGAGGACCTATAAAACTGGTAAATATTACCATTAAAAAATTCTTAAACAATTGGGTATTATTGGGAATCTCCTAAAGAGAAACAGAGTTTTCCGATGGATAAATATTGATTTTCAAGAATTCTATACCATTTCTATGAAATTGGTTTTTTCCCCATATAAAATACATGGCATACTTGGAGGTTTTTGAGCAGTCTCTAAATATTTTCTGATTTCGAAATAAAAAATAGGGGTACAACTTTTTTCGATATAGAAAAATCCTAGCAGGTGGTGGCATTAAAATTGTTTCACACAGTTGTTGCGGTCATCGTATTAATGTTTGCTTTTTGATAAATGGTAGCATCAATTGTATTTTTTACACTGACTTTCACCGAATTTTATTCCACTCGCGTTTTGTAAAAAAATAATTGCAGAACTTGTGAACATGCTCGGCAACTTTGCGTCTTTGGGTTCACCTTCACATTTTCCAACTAAAAAAATTGTATAGTCATCGGATCGGAATTGTTTCCTGGATGAGCTTGCCGATGTTGAAGCCATTTTGCCGATTAAAACTCACATTGTTTTGTAAATTTCTGTCTTAGTTCACTTTAATTTTTGTAAAAAATGCGGTTCACGCTCTTTGTTGCACTTTTGACTTTTCATTAACATCGGATTATAGGACTGCCGCTTGGTTGAAATTAGTGATGTGTGTTTTTCCGTACTTCTAAGGCCTTTGCAATTTTATGATGCTGCGTTATTTTAACCGATTTGAAACTTAATTGGAAAGTTATTCGATGAAATGTTCGATAAAAAGGCACACAATAAAACTTCGCCATCTTAAAATTATAAAATATGAAAATTCATAAAAACTGGCTTCAATTTCGTCACTTTTCGGTCCAACCCGGAACTCCTAAGAGTTATCTGAAAGCTTCGAAAATAATTTCATATTTATTTTTATACCCAACCTCATAATTTTCCGTGCGAATACCTTTGGTTTTCAAAAATCGGTTCATTAAGGCCACTCTAATGTAGATACATACATATGTATATATGTACATACAAAAAACATATCTACTTATATCGCACGCTTGCCTTTTGTTTTCACTTTTACAATTTGTCTCTGCAGACTTCATTTTGCCTTGTAATGTTTCAATAATTGTGTAAAACTACGCAGAAATATTAACGCACGAATAGCTTGGAAACATTTAGTTATTTGCCCACAGTTTTTGGGTTAGTGGGCTGAGGGGGATTGGGCGTAGGTCTTGATGTCTAACCCACTAGAAAGAGCACAGTTCACACTTTTTAAAAAGTCACACCTGAATCCGTCGAAACATTTCACATACCTCTGGGGAACCATTGGAAAATGGTCTAAAATTAGCATTTTTACACTGGAAATGAAAACTCGATAAACAGTATTGTCAAAGGTATTCAACATTTCTTGTGCATATAACTCCGGCTACGCCATCCACAGTATATTTGTTTAGAACTCACTCCGAAATTCAGAAAAAGTGCATTTTTCAGACCGAATTTATTAATAAATTAGTGACCGAAAATTACAAAATTAGGTTTCACAATAATTATGACACAATAGCCCGAAATCAAATAACTAAACCGTTCCCAGTTATATCGCTTTTTGGATTTCTTCAATCAACAATTGCACACAGCTGATTCTGTCAAATTCACAAAGAACAGATGCGGGCGATGGGCGCAATCTCTATTTCTCTCAATCGTTTTTTAACCTTATCTGCCCTTTAAACACAAATTTGTTCCTTAACAAATGTGTTAAAGTGCTGATAAATTTTTGAAGCTATTTGAGAAAATGGCTTTAGGGCCAAAATGTTTGTAGATACATAAAAGGTTAATAATAAAATTTGAAATATTTTAGCTATTGGGTATGGTAGCACGAAATGTCACAATCTGATAAATTGGCGACAAAAAAGTGACAATGAAACTATAGTATTCCCCACTTGCTGCATTTCAAAAATTGCAGAATATTTATTTCAATTAGGCGTGGAATCAATTAAGGAAGGAAATTTGAAGGTATGTATATCTCTTTTCGATAGCACATATTTTTAACCAGTTATGCGGGGTAACCAACTAACCGTGGAATATGCTGCCCAAAAATTTACATTCCTGAAATTTTCTTATAGTATGTGTTCAAGTACCCTATCTACTTCGAAATACGGCCATTTATACAAATCCATACGCATGTATAAGTTTGTATGCATATGTATATTTATGCATGCAGATATTTCAATAAAGACCCAAGCAGGTAAGAGTACATACATTTTGCACTGTAACATCCCATTTGTGGGTGTCAATGTTGCTCTCTTTCCGAAACATAGGACCAAATAAATTAAGGGATTTGAAGCCGCGATTTTTGCCATGTCCCTTCAGGTCACCATATATCGGGTCCGTTTCGCCAAATGTCCACAGCACTTTGATGGTGTCAACCTGTTGAAAGAAAAAATGATATATTAGTGTATTCGCGGTCAGTAAGATGAATAAGGAAGAAAACTAATATACGCAAATGACTGGTAAATATATGTATTTAGAACTTAAATAGTTAAAATGGCGAATTCGTAAAAGGAAAAATACACAGCATAATTTTGTTGTTTGGGTAAAGCACTCCGAACAAAGCTCGGTCACCCTGGTACTAGAATTTTTGTACGCTTTCGGTCTTATAGCTCCCCCATTTCAATTAAAATACAGTTCACTCTCTAACAAAACCAAAAGAACCTAAGTTGAAAATTTTGTAGAAAACTATAAAAATCAATCAACAAATACTCAACCACATTTCAACCTTTTTTTGCGAAGTGCTAGAATTTTTTGGGAATACAGGTTTATAGTATTCCATTCAATTTCGGTCTAATAATGTGTAAGTTTCAAGTGTCCCAAAATTGCGGCTTATTTTTTAAATTTTTTTCGCCGGCTGTGTTGCGGGTTGTTCCACATAAAAATAAATTGTCTTTACTCGTTATATGGAAGAAAATGTGACAAAACAAAAATTAAAAAAAAATTAACATAATTTTTTGCCACCTAAAATTTGCACATTACAATAATAATAATAATGGATTGGCGCATACACATATGTTAGTGTTTGGCCTAGCTTCTCCTCCGATTTGTGGCGTGCGCCTTGATGTTGTCACACAAAGGGAAGTGACCTACAGTTTTACGCCTATTCCGAACGGCGATTGTATTTTTATGAGAAGCTGTTTTTCATGTCAGAAATACATATGTACACTCGGAGGTTTGCCATTGCCTGCCGAGGGGCGAACGCTGTTAAGAAAAAACCTTTTTTCTACATATTTTTTTTTCGATGTTGCTTTGACCAGGGCTTGAACCCAGGCCCCGCGGAATAAAAGCGCGCACTGATTACCACTACACCACAGCGGCCGCCTTGAAACTTGTACATTATTGCAATAAAATTGAATGGGCCATAAAGCTGTATACTTAAATAAATTCTAACACTTCTGAGAAAAAAGTTTGAAATTTGGGTGAAAATTTGTTGCACATTTTTGTTGTTTTCTTCAAAGTTTTAAACTTGGTTTATATGGGTTTTATTAGGGAACTGTACTTTATAGAAACCAACAATATCACTTTAAAGTAGGGGTGCTATTAATATGACCGATACTGTGTACACATACAGTAGATGCTAACAAATATATTAAATTGCAAATTGTTAAATTATGTAATAGAATAAATGATACATATTTTTAATTGCAACCCTGTGTGTTTAGTTGAATTACTTTGCACGCCTTTGAAAGAACGGTATTTTAGTTTAGTTTTAGTCTTCACGTCAAAATGAGCGGTATGCTGCCATATTTTTTTTGCAACACAGTTCTTGTGCACAACTTATTTGTTCACTCTTTTTCAATTTCAGTCAGCCAGTGTATTAGGGAAAGCAGCGCGAATTCGTTGTACGCTTTGCTAGCACAGCGTAAAAGTAATCGCGAAGAGTTAGAGCTGGAGGAAACTGATGACTATGGTAATACGCCACTTCTAAAAGCCTGCTTTATGGGCAAACGCGAGCACGCAGAGGTGCTGATACGCTATGGAGCAAACCTGAAAGCTATTAACTATTTAGGTGAGTTGCTTGTTTAAACTTAGACATTTGAAAAATTTTAGAAGCGCTTGCTTGGGGGCGTTTTGCAGGTCAGAATGCTTTGACGATGGCAACTTATGCGGGCAGTTTAGAGGTTGTGCGTCTTCTGGTGAGATTTCGCTCCTATTCAGATTTTAATAAGTCCTCCATACTTCCGGCTTTATGCGTGGCATGTCTGCGTCAAAACAAAACGCTTATAGACTTTTACAAACGTTTTACGACCACTGAAGAGGAGGTAAAAACGGCACACGGTGAGTAGGTTATCATTTGTTGACATTTTCAGTGCGATAATCCAATATTTCATAGGCCTTTCACCAGCCCAAATAAGCGAATGGGTAGAAATCTATAATAAATCGGGAACTGAGCCAAGGCGTCCAACTTCAGCGAATGGAGCTGCTTACAGAATGCGATAATGGGCTGCACCAAAATAACGCCAATACGGAATCTGCAATCTTTTTCATAGTTTTTAATGTTGATGTTTTAAATTTGAACCTTGTGCGAAATTAAATGTTCGTTTTATGTTTTGTTCTAATAATTTGTTGTAAAACTTAAGGTTTTTGTTTGTTTGTAATCTACTGGATTAAAAATTGTATCGGGTTGCATAGCAATCAATTAGGATAAAGTAAAATTTGTATTTCAGAATGATATCATATATTTATGGGCATATGTTAATCTTTGACTTTTAAAAATATAATAAAGCAGTTTAATATTTCTAGTTTATTACTGCTTGTAGATATGGCATGCTAATATTTTTGAGCTATTTGAGAACTACTCACCCCAAGAGGCAAATCGTATGGATCGCATGTTTCGAGTTTACGTGAAAATTCCACCCAAGTGTGTGTTCCATTTTGTCCACCATCGATCACATTATAATTTTGGGTATCATCTTGAATGGGCGCGGAATTTGGGTGTTTTGCTGAGCCATGACAGTCCTGAAAAAGATAAAAATTTATTAATGTTAATAATGGACAATGAAACGAAGACTAATTTGGGGGCATTCATTTACATCCCCAAAAAAATCTTTCGAGATAAAGGAAAACACATGTTTCCGGGCCTTTTTGGAGATATTGGCGCAAATGTTGGGGTTATGTAAACCCCCCCCCAACATACATATTGCATTTGTACAATATATTGTACATTTAATTTTTTGTAACATTGGAAGCGTGCTACTAAAAATCTTATTAATATTTTTTTAAACAAATTAAACTTTATGAAGTTTCGGAATGTCCCGAATAGTTTACGTAAATTTCAAAATCGAAAACGGTTCAAAAATATTTTTTGAATTTAATTTAAAAATAGACCATTTTATAAAATTCCAGTGACAGGCAAGTTGTGGTAATTTACTGTACAAAAAATACGTGAAAGGCGAGTAAAATCGCTAATTAAAGCACATAGTATGGAAATATAAAAAGAATTTCATCATATAAAAATGCTAAAATTAAACTATCATGATTTAAAATATTTTTCCCGAGTGGTCCAAAAAAATGTACAATAGAGGTATTCTCCAAATCTTGCAAAGCCATTGCACGTAGCACGGATTGCATGGATTGCATAGCTTGCAAACACACAACAACAAAATAAATGGGAAACAACATTTCCTATCGCTGCAAAATATGCAACGTCGAAACCCATGTATATTAGGGCTGTGCGATTATTCGATTACTCGAGCAAGTTGGTTAATCAATTATTCGGTTAATCAATTACTCGAGTAATCAAGATTTTGATTACTCAAAACGATGATTAATCGAGTTACTTGAAATATGATTACTCAAAAAAAATAATTTTACTCGTTAAAAGAGTTTGCTTTGGAAAAGGCTTATTTCCTTTTTTACATTCTGTATACGAAACAAATTTTTTGTTTTAACTTTTTGAAAACAGAAACGTTGTTTTCAAAGTATCAAGGAACTTTAACTACTTTATACCAAGGAATGAAACCGATTCAAAATAACGTTCCGGTTTGGGTTTCGGTTTTGCCAAGTGTTTCGGTTTCGGGTTTGGTTTCGTTCTTCTAAATTTATTTCGGTTTTGGTTTCGGTTTCGTTCCGGTTTCGGTTTTTCACAGAAATTTTGTTGATATTATTTAAATCACAATGTCTTAAACGTTGAGGAAAGAAAATCGAAAATTACTTCTTTCCCTAACAATCCGGACCGGATTTGGTAATTAGAGAATAAGAGAAACATTTTCTTTCAAAAATGGAACAAAGTTCAGAAGTACGGAAACGCAAAAACCCACATTTCGTGCCCACAAGTCGAGAAACAGCTAATTCACGTTGTTCTTGTTTTGGACACTTATACCATGTTCTGACCGACATCGGAAAAATGTTTTCGTTGCTAAAACTGGTTTTCGACCTAAAACTTGTATTTTCGTCCATATAAAATCTGTTAAACGAAAACCAGTTTTCGCTGAAAACTACTTGAAAACTCACTTTCCACTCATTCCAATCGGTGTCTTCACTAGTTTTTTTCGATTATTTATCGAAGTGGAAGTTATATTTTATCATCTTTAATACGCCATTTCGGATTTATTGTTAACTGCCAAAGCAAAATAAGAATGAAAGTTAAAGGTTGTAAATGAAAAGAAAATGAAGGAAAAATGTTTTGGTTGTCGGTCAGAACATGGTATTAAATGCAAACACTTGGAAACTGAATTTTGGTTTCACAAATTTGATTTTAAGTACATAGATTGAAAATACATCAACAGGCCATTCACTTTTCCTTAAAAGCACCAAGTAAATGCAGGCACTTTGACACTTTATCCATTTTTACTCGGAGAAAATTTCGGGCTGTTTCGGGCAGGAAGAAGAATACACTTACGATCGAATACGCTCGAATTTTCGCTCTCTATTACCCATTTTGTTGAGTACAGGCATGATTTCTGGGCTATTTTGGGCACACGCGAGATCTCGCATTGCGTACGGGAAAGAAAGTACTTAAATATAATTAATCGATTATCGATTCACAACAACAAAGTTATCAGCAGATTTTTGCGAAAAGTTACCTTGGCATACTTATTTACTACTTAACAAGAATTTTAGCAAAATGTTGCTGATTTTGGTTAAATAAATCATTTATTTCAAAGAAATTTTTATTTACTATTTTTGTAAATTTCTGGAAACCGATTGAAACCTGTGATTGAAATGGTTTCGGTATCGTTCCTTTTCAGGTCAAGATAACGGTTACGGTTTCGGTTTCGGTTTTGAAAAACGAAACGGTTTTAAACGGTTACGGTTTCGGTTTGGGTTTCGGTTTCATTCCTTGCTTTATACATATGTAAAGAGTTGAAATGTTGATTACTCATTTTACTCGAAATTTTGATTAATCATAATGCGGACTTTTGTACAATATATTGCACAAATTTGAGGTAGCCCTAATAGCTACCCAAAACAACTTTTGAATATTTTTTTTTTTACTTTTGGTATTATGAGGATCTATGCTCCTTGTAATTAAGAGGAAAAATTTTTATATTCATTAGGGACGGATTTGACCGGAAAGGGTTAAAAAACCTTGACCACCCTTGTTTTCAGCGGCAGCGATTCGAAAACCCCTTGAGTCTCGCAAATGATACTCCACGTTCGCTGCTACCAGCTGTATGTATGTACATACATATCTATAACTGTGGCTGCGTTTCTTTATACATTCCGGATAATCCAATTTCATAGCCGGAATAAACAGAATGCGTTTGAAATATACAGTAACATATCATCAGAAACGCTCTAAAGAATAAGTAAACAAAAAAGGTTTTTCCAAACGTTCAGAATGAATAAAGAAATGCAGCCCGTATGTCACAACACAAGACGCCAATTTGCGGAGTAGCTTGGCAAAACACTTACCAAAATGTTTAAGCGCCAAATATCCTTTAGTACATATGTACATTAGGATGCGCAAAATTTCCGGACGAAAGTTTTTCGACCAATTGCATAGTATTTTCGGTGCCTATTGATATGTAATTCTTATAGAAAATGTAAAAGAAACTCTAAGTCGGAAATGGGTTACTAACCGGCGCATTTTTAAAAGAAAAATTTTGTTTTTCTCAAAGTATGTGAGTAAATAAAAAATTTGAGAATCTAATTTCATTGCACAAAAACATATATATGGGAAGAAATACATACTTGTGCCACAAGAAAAAAAAGAAATTAAAAAAATGAATATACATACACTGCCAGAACAAAGTATTGGCACAGCAAATTTTTCACAATATATGCAACAATTTTTATTCTAATATTTTTCCGCCAATTTTATATAAAAAATGGTCCATTCAACAACTAAAAACACAAAAATATAATTCATAAACTTTGTGCAAAACTCGCGAAAATTCAGCAAATTTTCATCAAAATTTTCAACTTTTTAATCCAATTTTTTTGAATTTTTTTGAGTATGCAGTTTTGCAGCCCATTTATTTCTAGTAAACAAATAAAAGTCAAAAATCGCGTTGATTTTTGAGACCTTTTTTTTGTTGAATTGCATTTTTTCCATAAATAGTATTTTCGAAAAAAAATTTTTGTATGGAAGAGACTGCGTGAAAAAAAATGCCAAAAATCAACGGTAATTCCTAGCTCCTTAAAACTTACACTTTATTGTAATGAAATTGATTGGGATAAAAATCTGCATACTCACAAAAATTCTAAAAAATCTGATTAAAAAGTTTAAAATGTTCATGAAAACATGCTGAATTTTCGCGAGCTTTGCACAAAGTGTAGGAATTATATTTTTAGGTTTTTTTTTTATTATAGAATGAACAATATTTTTATACGAACTTAGCGGAAAAATATTATAATGAAAATTGTTGCATATATTGTGAAAAATTTGCTGTGTCGATACTTTGTTCCGGAAGTGAATGTACATATATTTTTGAATTAAACTTAAAAATTACAAAAAAAACCAAAATAAAAAAATCCCTGCGCCAGGACTTGAACCGCGGACCTGAGGAATTCCACGCTAATGCTTTGCTCTGTCGACCATTGCGACTGTTGGAACGCCGCGAGGTAAATGTCATACTTATGGTTTTCACGGGGGATGAATTAGCCCACAACTGACATCTCGTGAGGGCTGAAACGCAAACTGGTAGCATTCTAGTTCACAACTAGTAGCTTTCCATGCAGGGGTGTTCACCTTTTGTTGCATCTAATGCATACAAAATGTCCATATTTTAGTTTACAACATTTTTATTTGATTTACCGTATTTACCATGCAAAGATAAACTCCGTCTTAAAATTATAAACGAACCACATGTACATGTATGTTGACAATTAATTTTTTTGTTATATAACTTTAATAATTTTTTTTTTTAGATATGGTTTACTCTTTACCAAAAATCGTATAAATACAAGTTTCAATTTTTGTGCATTATTTAAAAAAAAAGAAATTCAACACCTTTCGTAAAAAGTTTTAGCTATTTAGTTAGATTTCTTAGAAAGATTTTGAGTATACTGTATACAGTTGGGCATTTTCTTCCATACAAAGACGATTTTTTTATACATTACAGTGTTGGATTTGTTTCATAAGTTGTAGAACAAAACTATCCCGCATTAACAGCAAACACAATTTTAAAGGGGAAAAATCGGAAAGTATAAACATTTGTACATATGCAAAAGTTTTAAGAAAAGTTGAAGAACATTTTGTATCGCGAAAAGGTAATTTTTTCATTTAAAACACGCAATCTCGAAACTCGTTTCCGACCCATGGTTTCTTCTGCACTTTCTCTTAGAATTATCTGCAGAATCAGAAAATACTTTACGATTTAGAAAAAAGGACTCACCCTTATGTACATACATACATATTTATGTGTATGTATGTATACATATTATGTATGTAAGGTCAACATTGTGTAATGTGTAACAAGAAGTAATTGTTATTCCATTAAGATTTTCAGGAGTAATAAATTTTAAAAGGTAGTAGCAATTACATGAACTAAAAAATCCTTCCAAAAGCCATTTTCAGGTGCGACGATTCATATGCACTTTATGGAAACGTTTAGCCTTTATTG